GTGTCTCCGTTCAAAATTCCGTGCCGAGGAAAAAGTTTTATTGTCCACGGTGTAACAGTGGTTACACCAGACTCTCCGACATGAAAACCCATTGCCATTTCCAGTGCGGTAAAGAGCCCCGTTACCAGTGCCCGTATTGCACCAAGAAGGCGAAATTCTCCTCGAACATGTACGTCCACGTGCGACGCATGCACAAGGACGAGAAGTTGCAGATTATCGACTTGTATAAACAATTGTCCAGNTTATATAAAGGAGAGACCGACTGGTGGAGAAGAAAATTATAGAGAATAAAGAAAAAGAAAAAGGGAAGAAAGGAGGAGATCTCTCGATACGTACATATCCCCCCTTAAAGTTTATTTAGAAACTTCACACATTGTTACCTTTCTAGTTTTCTAAGATTATCGTCATTTAACGTTTTCCAGCAACGAGTGTAATTTCGTTCGAACGATAGGCGGGAAAATATTCTCTTGATATTTGCAAGAAGTGAATTTAAAAAAGAAAAAAAAAAAAAAAAATATTCACGATATTTTAATCCTATTGCGGTTTCAAAATCCAAATGCCGATGAGCCAAAAGTGGTTTTCCAAATGATTTTTCACGATTGTTCGAAAGGGCGAATTATTAGATATCGATCCATCTTGTTCAATTAATTAACATTTGTCATCGATCTACTCTGAATAAAGTGCATTTTGAATCTCTCTTATCCCAACGACTCACGTTATTTTTTTTTTTTTCTCTCTTGGGATTTTTTTCTTTATTTTTCTATTCGTTTTGTTTTCGTTAGCATGGTTGTTGTTTTACGAGTAAAAACCAGCAATGTCTCTTGTTTCTTCTCTGCCGTCTGCTGAATAGAACTTGAAACGTGAACGTGAAAAGATGATTTATCGGGAGAAAAAGTATCTCTTCTCTCTTTTTTGATTTAAAAAAAAAAAAAAAAAAAAACAAACAAGCGACAAAAACGCCTACAACACAAATCTCGGTAATTGAAAACATTGTCAAAATTTTACTGATCGTCGCACTGAATTTTTCCAGGTTTCAAACAATTTGCCACGTCAAGAATGTTATTGAGCGCGGGACACCGTGGCAGGCTTTACAGAAGTTTCATACCGAACAGTACGAGGTATCCTTGCGCCAATTGCACGAGCGTATTCGGCCAGAAACGAAGCCTCCTCACGCACTTGAGATACGAGTGCGGCCAACCGCCTCGCTTCAAATGCCCTTACTGTGATCTGATCTCGAAGAAGACGTCCAACATACAGAAGCATATACGCCGAAAACACGAGGGGAACGCGGTCTACGTTCAGGATATTTATCTACTACCAAATCTGACCGTTTGAACCACGCATTCGTCGTCTCGTTTTATTCACGAACTTCTTCCTTTTTTTTTTCTTTCTTTCTTTCTTTCTTCGAAATTGAACCAAATTTTTCTTTTCTTCTTTTTTCTCTTTGTCTTTTCTCCTCCATGCCATACCGTCAATTTTTATTCACTCGCACATTGTTATCGTGCGACAACAATTTTTTCCCGACATCCGATCGAGATTTTACTTTACTCGTTTAACCCTTTGCGCTCCAATGATGACTACTCAGTTCGATAACTCCAGAAGTGAGTCTCCGCCATTACTTGGATCGATGCGGCAATTCGAACGGCGATAATATTTATTTATACTCGATTTTTTAAAAATATCGCTTCACGAATAGATTCCTAAACTCTTTATAATCTTATAAAGCGTAGAATAATATATTATCGAATGCTTAGATTTTTTTTATCTCAAATTAGATCGCGGATCGAACTATTTATTTTGGGTGTTCAAATCCTAGTTTGACAATCATGGGAATAGAAATATTATTTTCAAAGTTTTTTACTTTTGTAAACTTGGAATACGATAATGAAATTAATTCGAGCGAGGATAAGCTTGATTTTTCGTTATTGAATAACGAAATTATTTCTATTCGTTGAAAAATTGACGAGAGAGAAGGAAAATAGCGATGAAAATAGAGATGTAGTATAAGAAGAATATAGAATGAATGAAAAATACGAATAATAGACAATGAATGTTATTGGGATTGTAAGATTTGCTCTCAATAAAATAAGAAAAGTAAAAGACATCAAACGACATTTTATCGCGATACTTGCCCTGATAAACCAAGGATGCATTTTGCTAATTATTATTAAAATATCGTGCAAAACAACGATATAGATTTTAATATTCAACAAATTTTCTTTCTTTATATGTAAAGATAACATAAAATGTTAGAATATAAAAGTTTTATACATTAACTTATATGTGAAATCATTTTAAGTTAGCTAAGAAATTCACCGAACGGATATCATCTGGAGTTGTTGGTTCGACGAAAAAGGTCTGGAGTGCAAAGGGTTATTTCAGATACTTCTCATCTTCGAACTCTTTATCAGTGGATCAGCAAAAAGGAGAGAAATAGTTTGGAATCGGTTCCAGTGCGGGGTGATTTTCTTGTTAACTCAGATTCAAAAGCGATAGAATAATCCATGACGATAATTTAAATATTTGAACGCGATTTTGTATACGAGACTTGTAACCATCAATCTTCGTTTATCGATATATACGTTATATACACGTATCAAAAATAAAATTATCGTTGTGATTTTTACTGCCTTTGGAATATCATTTATGAGGAAATTACCCTGTATATAGAGAGAGATGTATGAGAGCGAGAGAGAGAGAGAGAGAGAAAGGGATGCGTTGATCCGATCGCGAAGAGATACTTAGTTTCATGGTCAGTGCAATAATTCCAACGTTCGCGTTCTATGCTCACAATGTATCCTCCGTTAACGTGCGTTTCGTCAATAAACAGACTGTTTGATCAATTTGAATAATCTTGTTGCTCGTCCTCGATTTCGCAAACTCCTTTTTTTTTTTATTTTACTCGCGAGAAAACAAATCATCGTTTCAGACATAATTTCAATATGATTCTTCGATTTGTATTGTGCAGATCGATCGAGAGAAGTCCATTGATCGCATTAACTTCATTGCTTTCATCAATCGAATCGATGAATAAGAGCGAAAGAAATAGGATAAAAAATTGAGTATCAAATTTCGTATATACTGCAATCATCGACGAAGATAATCATCGATCTCGAATGAAAAAAAAAAAAACAAATAAACCACAAGATACACATTCGAGATGCTTCGACGAACATGTAAAATCTCTCGTTTAACGTTTCAAGATTTATATATATTTTTTTTCTTTGTTCTTCGACCGATCGAGAAAAATTCGTATGTGGATCACAGCCAAGATAGCAGACTGGCCTACTTCTTGTAATGTTTCCTTTTGTTCGCAGACGAGTTATTCCTGTACAATCCTGTGCTACTGGGCGAACGAAACGCCACCTCGTCGCAGTTTGCTTTGCAACAAGTTCGCAACGTCAAGTTTCCGTGTCCAAAGTGTAGCAGCGTTTTCAATCGGAAGAACAACTTGCAGAAGCATCTTAAGTACGAGTGCGGCCAATTGCCGAGGTTCAAGTGTCCTTATTGCGAATATCGTTCGAAGAAAACGTCCAATGTTCGCACCCACGTCCGCTCCATTCATTTCGGTTGTAACGTTTACGTGATCGATCTCAAATCCGATGCGATTAATTGTTTATGAATTTTATTTTGAAATGTTTTAGATATCGGTATCTATCGATTTAGATGCCGTTTATATTTCGGATTCGAAATTCAAATCTTCTGCATGCTCGTTAACAAAATATTTCTTAATTGTTCAATCGGATTTGTCATTATAAATTGTAACCATAGAAAATTTCCAAACGTATCCACTCGAGATATCCCGATTAGACCCGATCATTTCCGAATTACCTGACATCTACCAACTAAATTACGAACTTTTAGAATCCCGATCTAATCCGACGGATACCGAATTCAACCGAAGTTCCACGCGATAATCTGCACAAACATTAACACTAGAAGAATAAAAGAGAACAAAAGAATGAAAGTAAAAGAGAGAGAGAGAGAGAAAGAGAATGAGAGAATGAGAGAATGAGAGAGATAATGTGTGATTTTCTTGTACAAAACAGACCAATTACTATTCTTTTTTATAAATGGTCGAAATAAAGTTTTCTTTTGTTCAAGAACAAATCGCGTACGCTTAAAAAAGAGAAAGAGAGGGAGGGATTCGAGAACGTTGCGGGTATCGTTTATATCGAAAACGATTGTTAACGTTTGCGCTTTATTTATCAATAACATCCTTTTCCTCGATATTCCATCAATCAATATCGAATGGAACATCCATTGAATGGAACGTGTTCGTTGCTCGAGCGCGGACACTGACGAGTTCCGAACATTTTCTTACAGATCTGGAACATCTGGGCGGCTTCAAGATACCGGGGAGCGCGGTGCCAAGAGGTACGGACTTTCAAGACCGGAACAAAGGCAGGTTCCCTTGTCCAAGGTGTACGAGCATATTCAACCGGAAGAACAATTTGTACTCGCACTTGAAATTCGAGTGCGGCCAGCTACCGAGATTCGGCTGCCCGTATTGCGATTACGCGTCGAAGAAATCGTCGAATATACGCGCGCACGTGCGACGAAAGCATTATGGTTACAACGTGAGCGTGGTCAACGTGTCGCGCGATAAAACGTTTGAGGCGACAATGGAAGACGAGGAGGACAGAAATCTCGGGCAAACCTTTTAAAAAACCGATACTCGTTTGACCTCGTTTCTTTTCAACATGTATTTTTATCATCGTGTCTCTCTCTGTTATCGTGATAGAGTTGATATTGTAAATCAAACGTAAAAAAAAATTGCACGTAAAAAAAAAAAACAAACGCACTCAAAATTGCACATATACGGAGATGCAACACACGCACACTCGGATATAAATATGTAATATTTTCGATGTAATTATTTTCACCTACTATCATACCATACCAAAATCATATCTAAGCCTTTTTTTCGTTGCTCTCCTAATAGATATATATCTATTATATATATATATACATATATATCTATATATTTTCACATCACACTCTGACACGATATGTCTTGTCTGCTCGAAGAAACGGAAAATAATAATAACAACAATAAATTATTAAAAAAAAAAAAGAAAAACTGTGATCATCATCTATAACGTTGCATAATTAACGAGCAACGATCTCTTCATTGTCTTCATCCTTCTTCTCTTCACGGAAGATATCAAGCCTCTCCCGGTGTTAATCGTCGAACACCGCGGTGAGATCGACGGCCGAAGAAGGTTTGACATCGACTGCTACCGAATTATTATTTTCTCCTCTAGTTCCTCTTTTTTTTTTTGTGTTGCGCAGGTATGTTTCCGGAACTACACTGACGGGGACGTCGTGTTCTTGTTTCTGTTCCAGGGGTGAATTATTGCTGGTTCACCGGTGTCGCGAAGCCGTGGCAGAACGTTCTCCATCAACGACCCGGCACGCAACAAGGGCACTCAACGAGGAGCGGCACCGGCGGCACAAGCATCGTTTCGCCATCCGATTCCTCGAGGGTGCTCGACCGGAAATTCCCCTGTCCTAATTGCACCAGCGTGTTCAGTAGGAAGGGCGGGCTCACCTACCATCAAAAATTCGAGTGCGGCCAAAACCCTCGGTTCAATTGCCCGTACTGCAGTTATTGCGCTAGGCACATCTCGAACGCCCGCCGACACGTGCGCAAATGCCATCCGGGAAGAGACGTGTACACGGTGGACCTTTGCCAGTTGCAACAGAACGTCGCTTGAAACTACACTCGCCGAAGATTCGAAAGCTCGCAACCGGAAGAAGGGGGCTTCGATCGGAAGCCGTGGAATATATATTTAAGAGGCGTCGACGCGTGTCCCTTTTCATTCTTGCACTCGCCTCTTATATACACACCAACTTTCGTTCATCGTCGTTTGTCGTCGTTATTTGGAGGAATGGCGGTGCCGATCGAGATTCGTGTAAGACAACAAAAGTTTAGATATTTTTTTAGTTTTTTTTTCACGAGTTCTCGATTTTTACGAATTTAACTAATTAATCATGATGTTGTTGTCGAGAATATATAATTCAGTCAATTTTGTGAATTAAATATGTTGATTTTTTCGATTTATTGTTCTGTATCTAGAAATCGAAGATATTTGGAAAAATTAAGAAAATAGAAAATATTGTAAATAATTCTACGATTATTATTACGAATATGTTGTTAATTTCGCATTCGATTCGATATTGAACACGACGTTCTTTCTTCTTTTTCCAGGAGTTCCAATCACCCACGAGGGAAACGACCGAATGGAAAGAAGAATTTTCAAATGAAAAGACAGTAGGATTGAAATATGTGCGCGAATACGTGATTTATACGCGTAGATGATCGGTTGTATCAGAATTTTCGTTTCCAAGCTCGTATCGAGAAGAATGAATTGTGATTTTAGAGATTCGAGGGATCGATTCGATTCGAATCTGATGAATGGAACATTCAAAGTGAATACGTCGAAAATACCACGATACGATTGAACTGTGCATATTTCCGCAATAGAGAGATAAAAACGTGTATTCCAGAACTACACTTTTACAGCGGGACGTGTTAAACAATTGTATTTGCGATAATGTCGTTCTAGATTTTTTCACAAATATATAAAGCT